CAATGCCAGGCAGGCCACATGGAGGATGGTTCTCAAGAGCTACCCCTAGGAGCTTCTGATTGCCGTACTTAAGAGGAGAAGAGGGTGCTTGAGTCCACAGAAGTAACGATTAACTAATCAAAAGTAAGCACTAGTAAAGAAGGACAGAGACAGGATGAAAACAGGAGTAGAGGGATGCAGTTAAGAAGGAAGAAGTTAAGTGACATGTAAAAGATGTAAATATTTTCTTTCTGCTTAAGGGATGGTAAAAGTCTCCTTGCAAAGGGCATTGACAACTCAGGAGAACTAGAAACGCAGCAGTACAGGAGTGTTTCTCCAGCAAACCTGGGCACGCATCCCCCACGGAACAGCCTTTGCCCAGCCCAGCGTGATGGACGTTCCTGAGAATCAGTCAAGCTGCTGCGATGAGGACGTGTGAGGTAGCGGGCCAGGCAGACGGCGAGTCTCCAGAGCAATTTGGAGATGGAAAAAGCAACTGGCAAGGAAGCAGATTAGATGAAACCTGTGAGTCACCTTTTCATCTCTGCCTTACTGCACTCGGTGATTAAAGCCACGGCTGCTCTGTCTGCAGCTCCTCTTCTGACAGCAACCTGTGCTTTCAAAGACACAAGCAAGCACATGTGAAGTGAAGACGTCTCGCGGAGACGTTCGGCTTAATTGACTCTCCCTCTAACACGACTTTCAACTTCTCTAGCGTATACCAGCAAAACAAGCAGGGGGGAGAAAAAATCCAACGCAATTTCACGTCTAACAAGCCTCTCTCCACAGCACCACTGCCTCATGGGACTGGCAGGGCCTCTTGCAACAGGCCCAGGACCAAACCAGCGTACGGACTGGCTCATCCTATGCCTTGTTTTCACCCTGCTCCTCAACTATCTCATCGGATTTTTACAAGGCAGGGAAACCACTTTGAGCTGTAAAATATGAAAATAGGTAAAAGAACCAGGGCTCCCTGCTTGGAGGCAGTGAACCTATGACAATGCATGCTGTCCCTGATGCTGACTCCAAGCTCTTCAAGATGCATTAAAATGCCTCAAGTCTGGGTCTCTCGATATAACCTTACAGTTCCCCATCACCATATCCTTCAACTGACCAGAGATTTCAAAAAAAAAAAAAATCCAAGCGTGAAGCCACTAAAAGCAGGCTTTCCATGGACATCTTGCAAGGCTGAGCTACCTAGTAGATTCTCTGATGTCTGAGGCATGAGTTCACACCACAGCTTTTCTCTGTTTTCCTGGCCAGTTATACCTCTGAAAGCCACTAACCCTCAGTCAAACAGGGCTGAAAAAGGTCAGAGCAGTCAGAAATTATTGGGGAAAATCAAAGACGGACAAATTGACGGAACATCTGCCCGTCTCATAGGCTATAAGTTCCTGCCCAACTTTTTATGCTGTGCCTTCTACAGGAAAACAAAACCTCCTGCAACTACACAAACAATGCAGAGAAGACAGGAAATTTGTTTGAGGGGAAGAACAGGGCACAGAACGGGAGTGGAAGGGAACCGCGTTCTTGAGGGAAACATTTTTCTATTAAGCATCCCTATCAAACGGAATTGGGAGAAGCTAATGCATCAGAGGGAGACCTCTCATTACCCAACTGGCTGGCATCCAACGCAAGCCCACAATAACCACATCTGGCTTTGGAGCACAGTAAAAAGAGCACATAAAATGCTTTTGCTATTTGACAAGTGACAAGTGGAGCAGCTGCTCCACACCCAGGGATGGAGTTTGCCTCTCCTGCCTCACTGATGGGGTTTGAAGAGGTGGCATCCAAATTCAGAAGCACCCTCAAGTTCCTGCCATTTATTACGTAAAATGGGAAAAGGGCGGATTTGGAGCGGTGGAGCATCACCCCACCACATCTGCATGCCTTCAGCAAGATGGGCCCCAGGTCAAGTTTCCCCAAAACCAGCTTGATGCTGAAGCTTGTGTTTCCAGTGGAAATTCGACACAGGGGATTTACAATCCACTGGACAGACGCAGAGGCCTGGAGTAAGGAATGCTCTCAAAGCCGGCTAAGAGGTTCACTTGCTAGAGCCCAGAGTGAAATTCTTCGAGTGCTGGAGACAGATTTTCCTTGGCGACAGGCCACAATTGTCGATCTGGCTTCTAGGAGAGATCAGAATGGCTGCGGATTGCAGCGACTTCAGAGACAGATATAAAACCTTCTTCTGCAACCGACTTGCTTATAATAAACCCATGAAAATGAAAAGCTAAAACATTTCCAGCTGGCTGGAAGCTCTGGAGAGCACAGGGAACTTATTGCATCTGCTGGCTCGGGGCTCCTTTCAAGACCCCTGAAACTCTTCAGGGGTGTTGGGACATCCAAGTGTCTAAGCTGCTTTTGCAAGCAAGGAAGTAAATTATTTAGGCACTTCTCACATTTTAGCAAGGTTATTTACGGATCCAAGTTTACATCAGATTTCTAACACATGGCAAAGAGTGAATAAGCACAAAATTTAAATTTTAAGGAAAAAAAGTAACTGCTGCTTCCTCGTAAAGCCTTAAATATTTGCATAGTGTTGCTATATCACTCTTAGAAGAAGACTTTCTCAAAAAAGATCTGCCATGTGACTTGGTTGATATTATAACTTCATTAAAGGGATTTATGGATTTAGGTTTGTCCCAGGATTCAAAGGGAAGTTGCTTTTTAAATTACTGTCTGCTCTAGAACAGTTTCAGTGGCTAGTAGGGATTTTCCTTGTACATCTGAAGCACTGAAATCGGTCTATAAAACAACAGAATAACTATCTGTGTTTTCAGGGCTGGACTCTTTTCCTCTTGACCCTGTAACAATGAATTTGCATCCAATTTTGCTGAGCACAAGGGAAAAATCTGGTTCTCTTTGTACAGGGGATCTTGCATTGAGTCTAGCATGCTGAACAAGGAGAAATTCTGATGCACTTAGCAATGGTACTTAAACAGGCTTTATTTTTCATTATACGACTCTCTATTTGAGATAGAAATTTCCTCTACCTTATCACCTCTACCTCCTCTACCTCTACCATTTTACATTTTATTGCACTAGAACTAATTTTAGTCAATACCTTAAAGCAACTTAATCCCACGTTACTCTGACGATTTTATCTACAGTTGCTTCGTAAGAACTCAAAGTTACTCAAGCACATTGTCACATCCAGGGACTGAAAAGAACCAGGGAAGAGGAAGAATGCAACGTTTAAAAAGAGGAAACGAGAAGTAAAACAAGGGACAACCTCTCTGTGCTGCACCTTCATCCATCCAGATGTTCTCCCCAGTCTGCACAACACTCCGCCTGGAGCCACACAGCTCTATTGCCTAGAAGAACACCTAGGACAGCCTGTTTTCAACTGAAACTCAACAGGACAGAGCTCTCTTGGCGCCATTCTGACAAGTTAATATCTTTAAATGACATAAAAAGCTGGGACTACCTTTGAAAACCAAGACAAAGATGCCCCGTGCAAAGAAGAGTATTTGAAAGAGGAAGAGGAGCTGTAGAAAACTGCTGTTTAGCTCTCTCCTCACCCAAGCCGAATTCATTTGGCTGTGTTTTGCACTTATGAACCATACAAACATTTCACATAGCCCTGCCTGCTGCTAATGCACTGGCTCAGAGCAGCTGAACCTCACAGAGCATTTTTAAAGCATTTCATTCTTCAAAAAGCCACAGCTTTCCTCTTCAAAATCCCTGTATTCATGTCTTCGTGCTTGGAAAAGGACCAAACCTTCCACATTTCCTTATGCCCAGGAGGTTGGGAGCGCATTGCATAGTGCAGTCAATAAAGTGCCAAGAAGCTAATGAAGATAAAAGTGTCAACACAGGGCAACGATAATATGCACCTTTCCCGTGTAGCTCCTCTGACCATTTCTGCACGCAGACCAGGCTGTTAATCACACGCCCAAGTATGAAACCTGAATCCCAACATTATTAGCAACCTTAGTGCTGCTCCGTGGAAGTGTCAAGGGATGACAGATTGCACGGCACATCAATTGGCTTCAGGGACGTTCTCAAACTGTTACGGGTTAAAAGCAGCTCCAGCGTGAATCCGAGGCACGGTGGTGAGGAGCTCATCGATACAAGGGATTATGCAGATTTAAGAAATACCCTCGGCACCCGAAAGTTTTCAGAATGCAAACTACGTCAACCCTGAAAACAAGAGGCACTGCATCATGATGGCAGGAGGGACAAAGCCAGGGGGGTTTAACAGACAAAAAAAGATTGTTTTAATAGAAGAGAAGCATCAGTCATTGAGTCTAACTTCATTCAGACTTTCTATCCAACCCATCCATCTTCGGTGCCAAGAGATGACAGGACCACCTCACTTTTCCCCCCCAGCCTAGTGTATCAATAATGCCCATTTCTACCCCTAACAAATGGCTCACGAGAATGGTGCTTTTCCCTAAATTGGTTTGCCAAGCCCCTGCGAGTGCCTCGGTACCTGCTCCGCTCAACGGGGCTCGCATGGGGCCCCTTGAGAGGTGGGCACCAATGGGTGGAGCCTCTCCCAGCCATCCTCCTCCAGAGCCGCTTTGTCATTCCCGGCTGGGGACCATCTGCGGAAGAGGGGACGGCGGAGGGGGAGGACGGCGGGAGACAGACAGAACCCCCACACATGTACACGTACGCCACACAACCCCGAATGCAAATGCCTTCGGCCTCGCAAAAACGCTTTATCTGCGAACAAAAGTGGCCCGGGCAGCAGGCTCTGGCACCTGCTCACTGTCGGAGGCTCTCAGAGGTGTCCTTGGGCCACGGAAGCCAACCACAGCACGCTGGCTCCGCCATTGCCGTGCCACCAGCCCTGGTCACCTCCACCACCTTGAGGAGGCCGGAGGGCTCAAGGCCTAGATGGCCTCGCACGCGCAGAGCAGGAGGGGGAGCGCGTCGGGAAGGGATCCGAATATAGGGCTCCAGCGCAAATCGCCAACACCGTTTCCCCTCCTCTCCCTTTCCTTAAGACCTGATGGTCTTCAGTCACACATCTTAAAAGAAAAACAAAAAACAAAAACACAAAGACTTACTTGTCTCAAGTCGATGAAGGCCAACTGCAGCGTGTCCCCTTGGAACCCAGGCACTGGGCCGGATCTGGCAAACTCTGTGGGAAAGAAAAGAGGATAAAAAGCGCCTTTAACTAACCATGGACAGGGAGATTGGCAGACGGATGACAGGGAAGACAAGAGAGGCTGGGGGAGAGGAGGACTGCGCTTCTAAGGAGTCATGTCTCCCTCCCTTCAGCTTCTTTGTTCGCCCTTCAAAATTCGTGTCATCAAAACACCATTAATTCCACCGTCCTGACAGCAAGGAAACTGTACTAATTCGACCTGAAATTTATTCCCATGAGCTGCACTGGGCTTCAGAGTATTTGTTTTGTGAATGGACAAACAACTCGCAGAGAAGAAAGGGGGGATGGGGGTGGAAAAGTTTTTCCTCTCGCCACAATAAAATCTTCAGCTGTGAAACTCTTTTCAGTTCCGAAAGCTATTTATATTTTAGGGCGCTGAAGGAATTTTCTAATTTCACGCCTGTCACCAGGCTCCATAAGCATTCATCAAAAAAATATGCCCAGCCGCGTCGTTAATTATGCGACAGCAGATTATTTGCATTATCTGGTATGGCGCGTTATTGACGGTGCTCCGTCACCCCAACGGGAAGGACCGCCGCCATCAGGCAGCATATTTATTTATTTGGGATGAAGACATCTGACAACTGAATGCTGTCGGCTTCTAAAGCGAAGTGAACATTTTCATGGCCACATTTACCTCCTTCTGATGCAATCCGGCCACAAATCCACACTTAAGTCATTCATTTTTCTTCTTTTTTGTTTTTTAAACTAAGTCTGAAACCACTAAGGGGCACTACTATAAAGCCGCGTTGGAAGACCTTAGTTCTTCCACGTCATTTCATGACTTGTACTTGGTAACATCCATAAAGCCAATGACTGCTAGTGTTCAGGTGTGTGTTTTGAGAATATGTTTGAGGTTAGTTTTGCCCAACTTGACTACTTTTTTGTCCAGTCTTTTTTGCCCAATTATTCTATTATTTTCCATCCAGGACCCCTCAAAGCAGCTCCTGCAGCTCCACAAGGCTCAGGAAGAAGACAGGCTCTGCAACAAGAAAGGAGGATTTTGCCTTTTGTCTTCATGACTACTCAAAGGTTCTAGAAGACAAAATGTGCCCTTTCCTTAAACCCGAAGTTCTACATTACACTTGATCTAAGCCAAAAGCCTGAGAAGTAGAGTCTTCCCACACCAGATGGTCTTCTTGAATGCTTCTCCATCCAGTAGTTATCTCATTTTCAAGCAAACACCAAGAACGAAGCAATAAAGTCAAGAAGACATCCTTTAGCAGCCCAGTCATATGAGCAATCCCCCCACGCCAGACAAAGGAATAAGACAGGGTTTAGGCCCGTTCCTCAACTGCTTTCTTTCTGAAAGCCAAATAAAGATTATTTGTTGGCTTTCTTGATCCAACTTTCATTAAAATCTTGGGATGGAGAACATCCTTCAGTGCAGACACAGGTACCTCCAGAGACACAGGGGCCAGTTTTCAGACATCCCCAGCTTTACTCGTTAATAATTTCAGGTGCCAGAAGAGCTCTAAGATTGAAACAATCACTCATCTTTGTGCGGATCACTCAAATGATTCTGCTGCAGGACAATGAGACAAGAGAGTGTTTCCCTTTGCAAAGTTAAAACAAACTGATTTTGTTATAACATCTAGACATACTGATTAAGAAATATGGCTTTTAAGAAACATTATTTTTAACCAATCCTGCTACTAGAAGCAGATAGTAAAAATTAAAAATAAAATCAATATACATGAGTGTCATCATTTAGACCTTGAAAAGGAAAAAGCCCTTGACAGAGCTGCAGCCTGAGCTCGGATGCCAGGTGGAACCATGCACAGTTGTAGAGATGGACTTGTGTCTCTTTTGCCCAAAATGCAACTGGACAGAGAAAGGAGTCATTCAGCTTCCAGCCAGTTTACCCAACCAGGCTGCAAGGCTTAGGTTGCAAATAACCCACAATGATTTACATTTAAGCTCAAAACTGTTTTAATTAATTCTCACTCTACAGTCATTTTAATGTGCGCTTGCTATAAAATTTGATTGTAATTTGCTGAGCCAGAACACACACGCAAGGGAGGACTAACCCACAGGCTTTCTGACTCTGATCTGTGAGGGATAAATCATCTTTACACATTTGTTATATGCTCTCTGTCTCATCTGGAAAAATCATCCCAAAAGCCACATCAATCCTAAAACACCCCCACTTTGGAGAAGCACGTACCTAAGAATCTTAAAAAAAAAAAAAGAAAGAAAAAAAAAAAGAAAGAAAAGAATAGAAAAAACTATTAGATGTGAGAAATAGCTTTCTAGCTTGCACTCATGAGATGAAACCACTACGGGCTGGCTGTTGCTGTTGATTTCAGTGGGTTGAGGTACATAAAAAAGGACTGCCTGACTGCTATCTCCCACACTCCACACGCTCCACGGATGGGGTCATGCCATGTTACTAATTATATTTGAAACAACACTGGAAAACAAAAACCCTACAAAGATTCCACCAAAACCAGCCTTCTACTTTAAATATCTTTGCTGCTGTTAGAAATCCTAACAGAAGCCCACATGGACTTGCGAAATTGAAGATTTTCCCAAAGACACAAATTTCAGATACTCTTGAACGTTCTTCACGAGTCTGGTGACTATGCCATTTTTGTCATCGGTCATCTATAAACTACAATGGATTTAGTGCCAAGATGTGATTGCCTGTTAGCACCTCACCTTTAGTTGTCTCCTGCTGAGCAACCATGCTGGAGCAACCCTAGGAATTACATGAGCAACACCATGCTTGTAATATACTGAATATGGTCTTTATGAAGCAAAATCTGCTCAAACAGTAATAGTCATAAAAGAAAGGACAGTGGCCTCTCCCACTTTAGCAATGCCCTTGACATCCAAGAGGTGAACCTCCTGTTGTACCCCTGGAGAATCCAGTGATGTCCTATTTGTATCACAGGAGAAATGAGACGGAGAATACGGATTGCACACTAGAAGAAAGCTGCTGTGGCAGTTGCCTGCAAGGAGCCAGGAGAGGCCTGAATGCAATGCTTCACGCCATGGTTGCTACAAAAACAGTTGTATCTTCTGTAATCGTAGGTCACAGCTTACATACCAATGCCACAAACTTATTTTGCAATGAGAAAGGAATAAAGTCTTAAAAGAAAAGAAAAGAAACAAAGCACAGAACAGAGCTTTAAAGGAAGGACACAGCCAGTTCTTCTTGGTTTTAATCTCTTCAACCAGATTTCAGGATAATTTTCTCGGAACAACCGAGCACAGTGCTGGCCTCAGTACTGTCGGATTCGCTCATTGTACTTTCTCCACTACCAAGGCAAGGGGCAAACATAGCAAGCCACCTACCCTTGAGCAGAAAATCACAAGACAATAGAGCAGATCAGTATGCGCCTGTTTGTACAAAGCATTTAGCCAGGCTAAAGGTTTGAGAGACTTGTGTTCAGGCCAAAAAAGTAATGTCTTTGCAAGGTCTACAGGCTTGGGCCACCCAGGGCAGGTCACAGAGGGACTCTAACCTCTCTTCCAAAACATTTCAGCAATGAAAGAATCAAGGAACAAGGAACCGTTAAGTCCTTTACAATGAACAAAGAATAAAGAGTTCAAACAAACACGAGAGAAAAGGCGTCCACTGTAAACTAGTTATACAGAACTGGAGAATCTCTTTTTATATCCTGCACATACTTATACACACCAGGACCAAAAGTGTCTTATACATAGTGTGTGGTTAAAACACAGCCAGCTGGGTTCCTTTTTCTCCTCAAAAACGTCATTTGGAGGGTAAGATTTACTCTGATTTATGTGGCAGCACCAGGACGTAGGATGGTAGAATGCAGACAACGTGATCATGTTGCTCACACCTAAAAGGCAGCTATGCCAAGTCTCCAAGAGCTGAAGCTCCACACCACGTCACCCCAGCCCTGGACATGCTCATCTGTACCCAGCCACATCCTCATATGTCTCCTGTTGGGATTACAGAAGAAGCCCAGAAGACATTCCTGGGCCACAAGACTTTGGGGTTAGAACCCAGCTTCTGAATTTGGAGAAAAAAACGACCTCATATTCATTAATGCATGAGGTGGTATATCCCACAGTTAGACAAGGTCTCAGAAGACTTTCAGAAAAGACAAATGACACCCACAGTTAGACAAGGTCTCAGAAGACATTTTAGAAAAGACAAATGACAAGATCCCTTACAGCTCAAGCAGAAAGGCAAAAATCACCCCCTGAGAAAACTCCAGCTGAAGAACAGGTATCTTCATGGAATATGGAGAAGCTCACAAGGGAAAAAAGGTGAGAAATGATGAGTGGGAATTTCAGCAATAGAAACAGAGAGAAGGTCCTTTTGGGAGGAGTCCTACTGTTCTCCTTACAGTTTCTATACTGGTATTATACTTTAGCAACATAATTTCCAGGACAAATGACCAAAGTTCATCCCATCAGGAATTCCTGAAAACGGCAGGAAGAGAGAGCAGTTATTCAAAATATTACATTGAACTGGATCAGATTAACAAAAAAAATGTCCTTGTCTGTCATTTGCTCCTCTCGTGGAACAAAGAGGAGCCTGGATTCCCATTAGTTTGCAGAGATGGGTGGTCCACAGGGATGTCCTGGACTTCACGCACCGACCAGGCTGCAGGAACATCTGCAGCATCAGAGAGGAACACCTGACAGTTTGGCCACCAGATGTTTTAGAGTAGAAGAAAGAGCAACTCTTCAGATTGCGAGAGTTGTGTGCCAGGAAAATTGCTGTCTGCCAGTTTAGAGAAGAGGGCTACAGAACCGAGTTACAGATCCATGTAGGTTCTCAAGATCCAAGGCCGTAACCCAAGATGTACAACGGAAGTCTTTGGGATGATATGAAGCTCTCAACTCTCATGAAATACAAATGTGAGGAAAAGCAGAATGAGTACCTCTGGACATTACCCTATCAAGCTGAAAAGGTTCCCAAACACCAACGGTGTGTGTCTGTGTTGGGTGAGAAAGGGAAGGTTGGGGAGGAGCTGGGGAACTGTTTAGCTAAACACCAAGTTCTGAACAATTTCTAAACTAAAGGAATTAAGCATAGATTGGTCTTGAAGCTGAAAAAGTCACCTTATAGAATGACAAGTAATAAAAGAAGGAAGAGAAGTAAGAAGCAAGTAATACGAGAAGGTCAACTAACAAAACTCTGATCTCTTTAAATAAAGCAAAACTGAAAACATCTTATCTAGTTTAGACCATGAGAAGACAAAATATAGTGTTATATAAAGGGGCCCTCATTTTGTCATTAGTTTCTTTCCATCGCTTTTCACGTGCTGAGAAGAGGAAGGGAGCGATGAGGATTTTCAGGGATCCAACTCAGCTCAAAGTCGGTTGTTTAATCGGGGCATACAGAGGGATCTCCTCTTCTTAAAGTGAGCTGGAAAGGAGTATGGAGATGGGCTGATGTCAGGCAAGCGTCCTGGGGACCAGGCAGAGCCCAGCAAGGTGTGGGAGACGGAGGATATCCCAAATGTCACAGTGGGAAGCGCAAGTTAGAAAGACAGGAGGAGAGTCTGAGATGACCCAGGGGGTCTAGCAATAGACTTACAAGGGAGACAGGAGACAGTGAAAACCTATGGACAAGTGCAAAAGGTAAAATAGTGAACAAAATCCCCCTCAAACAGGGACTTTTTTAATAGCTCTATGGACAAGTGCAAAAGGTAAAATAGAGAACATTGATGGAGAGCCATGCCCTTCTGCATGCATATTTATATGCACTAATTCACCAGGAATCACTTTCCTCCCTGGCGTGAGGCCTCCGCAACCCTATGAAAGGTCGTCTGAGGAAAACGCAGGCAGCACTAAAGACACGAATGACACACCCTGGGGAGAAAAATCACGGAAAAATACGGGGGGATAAATCTAAGCGCAGGCTCAGCCACCAGCCAGAGCACCCGATTTCCCTTCCCTCTGTCACTCCGCACGGCAGTAGCTCAACCTTCCCGCCCGGAAAAGCACATCCTGCAGCACCAATACCAATACCAACCACGTCGCCCACCCGCCAGCAGGAACATGCAAAGCTTTGCTTCCTCAAAGGGTAAGGTTGGGCAGGCAAGGAGGCAGGGAAGGAAGGGCTCTGCTCTTCTCTCACCTGCCCAGGGAATTCTGCATTTGCCCCTAGAATAGAGAGCAACAGATAAACCCGGAGAGACCTTTTCCCAGGAAAACGAAACCTGGGACCCAGGAGAGGAGGAGGTGACAACAGTTTCCCTGGGTTCCAGCTCTTTCTGGAGGGCTTCCCACAGGATGCTCCCAACTGGCCAGCGCATCCGAGTGCCTCCTGGGCTTTAGGCAGGAGCCGGCTGCGTGAAAACGCAGCCTTTAGGGAAATTTTACATGTAATTTTATAGCACTTTTAATTTCTCATAAAGCAGCAGTTAAAAGATTTTAGAGATTAGGCAACTGCTTATTTTATGATCTAGGTATTATAAAAACAATATCTGCCTTAACCGCCCCTGGAATCGGTTACTCAGACATGAAATGCTTTTGTGAGAGCAGCCACCTTCCTTTTCCCTTTTTTTCCCCCATCATAATCCCCACATGTGGCTCAATACATTAAATTCCTGCTACCTCCAAGGTATATGAGATATGGGGAGAAAAAAAAAAATATATATATATATTAAAAAATACATAAAAATATATAAAGAAACAGGAGCTCCTAAAGAGAGCAGAGCACACCTCTGGGTTAAAAGGCCTGCTCCAATTTTTAAAAGCGCATTAAAAAAGCACATTAACCTTAGGTTAAAGCAGCATTCCGGACATGGCAACCAAACTCATTTTAAAAAGCAGATGCCTATCCCTAAACAAGTACCAGCCCTCTATTTACAGATTCACCAAAACATTTGTCTTTTTTTTCCCCCTCCAGGGCTTTTTTTTTTTCTCCCTTCTTTTTAAGTCGGCTCAAGGGGCCGGAGCCAGAGCTCGCTCCTAAATTGAGATGTAATTAGAAGTGTCCCATTGTGTCTTTCTGGACAATTCACTTAACCGGCCATGTCTTCTTGCACTTCAAGGCTTAAATAAGAGGCGAGCGAATCTCTCTTGCCTGTGCAGAAGAGTGACAGAAAGCCAAGTAATAATAAGAATTGCAAATGCAAGTAATGAGAGTATGAAAATGTGACTTCAGATGCCCTTGTACATATATTGCTCAGTTCTTCCTTGCCTCTTGCACACCAGCAATGTTGCTGCCCTGATCTGACAGAATTCACTGAAAAGCATGCCAAAGGGCTACAAATATCTTACGTGTCAATAATAACATAGCCAAATAATATAAATAATAAATAAATGGCAAGTGTTGCCTCAAGCTGCAAAGCAGATAAGGCTTTGGAGTTGGAGAGAGGGTAGGAGGCAGCTTTCGGAGTCAAATGCCCAGCTAGAATAACAGGGACGCTGAGATTTGCACCTGCACTTTTAGGTAATAAGAATTAAAAGAAAACCCTTGCAAAGAGAAATGTTGCCATTGAACATGAAGGAGCTCTTGGTTTCATCTTGCAAAAACACTTGCCTCCAGATCCTGGGGGATTTAAGGAATCATACTTTTCAAGCCTGTATTGAATGTCACCTGGCTTACTTAGCACTGGGAGCTTTTAGGGAGGAGATGCTGCTTAGTGACCCAAGCCACCAACGGGGCGGAAAACTGCAGGGCTGCAGGTGCGTTTGCAGCCCGCAGGATAAAAAAGCAAATTCTTATTAATGACGGATGCTCCTTACTATGTGCAGCAACATGGAAGGGCCCTCTGTGGACCCCACTGAGCACAGAGCTGCTGCCAGCAGAGCTGGGATCTGCTGCCAGGACACACATTCCACGGAAGACCCTTCTGAAAGAAAAATAAGGTATTGCCTGGATTACGACAAACAATACTGCAGATTTTGGCTATGATGCATTAAATGCTGAGGCTTCGCCCACTCTGATCAAAGGTGAGAGGTGAGAATGAGCGAGAAGACCTGGCCATTCCCCTGTCACTAGTAAACACCTTACTGGGCGACCCTCCTCAGCAACAAATTCAATCTCTTGGTAGTTACCACTGGTAGGTGCTGCTTAACTTCACCACGATTAGCAAGACTTTTTTTAAAGGGTAAAGACTATATGATGACAGAGTCAACCACAGGTGACGATGGAATAAAACTAGTTTCACTGAATAAATAGAGTTTCCAAAGATGAATCAAGCTCAACACCAGTGTAGGCTCTGGTACCATTGCCACCAAAGCCAGGGACAACTGCCATGGAGTTTAACCAGGCCAAGGAGCCTCTCAGGCAACTCTGCAGGAAAGACATTCATCATTTTCTCAACTTTTTCCAGGGTCTGTTCCAGCCTTCAGGGCAATCAGGAAAGCCAAAGAGGTGGGTACGTGGGATCGACTTTCCCAACCTCTTTTTCCCCTTTCTCATATTAAAAGCTTTCTTGACCTGTTTATCAACCCGGGAACTGTAGCGAGCCTGTATCAAGCTCAGCATTTTCCATAGACACTGACCCTTTGATATTTTCACAAGTGGCCACAGAACATAATACGCCGGGCTCTAAATAGCACGCAGCGCGACCCCGGCACGGAGGCCAGGACGAGCTCAAAGGAATGGCTGTTTTCTCCCCCCCCAAAAAGTGCACTAGGGTGACCATGCCCAGTCCAACAGCAACACAGGCTGCGGTGAAAGGCTCCATCCGACCACACTCCGTTTTTCTGTGGGTCGGGAACACCACGACCTCACAGTTGGCCCCTCATCTTTAGGGCTCACGCAGCGGATGGCTACTGATCTGCCCGGCCGCGTTTTTTTTTTTTTTTTGGGCCTTCACAAACATGCTGAAAACAGGAGAAACCTCCCCTGAACTATGTACTGCTCCATCCTACCAAACCTAGAAGGTTTTGGGGAGGTATTTGGGGGTTTCTTGTACAACGTGCCTGGAGAACTGCATGGTGCTCCTGTTATTGCCCTACAGTGTGGACTTGTGCAGTTTTGAGCTTCACCAGGTGCCTGAGAAAGACCCATTGGGGAGGCTCCTGAACACAGCCCTGCTTTGCACTGAATTTTAAAAATAATAAGGACCAAAAAGAATGGTCCTGTCAATTCTGATCCACATTTTGTTAACACCTACGGAGAGCAGGATATTAAGCAGCTTTAGGGGGATCTTAGGATTTGTCCCCACTGCGTATTCAGGTGTTGGTTCGATGAACCAAAATGAGCAGGGTCAGGTGCAGACCACATTTCTGGTACCTACGACCCCCACACGGCACATTGCTAAACAGCTGCAATTACTTGCAATATGCTTGATCTTGCTTTCTGTAAGAGTGACCTAGGAAAAGGGTTGTGCTCTGAGAAAACAAATCCCTGCAGCAGATAGAGAAGAGGAAGCAAGAGCTGGGGTCAGGAGAGGACCAGAACTTCTTAAGATCATCAGCCAGTTATTGTTTTCAGAAACAGACTCAAGGAGACTCATTTTCGCTAGCCCTGCTGAAGCTTTACCCTCCCTAATGCTGCCTATTTTTAACAGAACCGATCTCAAAAAGCCAGGGCTTGTCTGGAAAATATTAATGCCCCATTTAAAGGGAAAAGGGAAGAGTAAAGCTTTGATCTCTTAGAATTTGCTGGGCTTCTTCCGTTCTGAAGATACTTCCAAGCGTCATGGTGAAGAGTGTGCTGGAAGCTCCCTGGACTTGGAGCTGCTCCCCAGGCTTGAGTCCTGCCCATGCAAAGGGAAACGCAGGGGGGAAAAATAAAGGGTTTGCATCTTACGTTCGCACTCCTCCACGTCCAGGTTGAACTGCTGCAAGGCCCCCAGCGAGAGCTGCCGCACTTCGGCCTCCAGCAGCAGCTGCATCAGCGACGTGGAGAGGTGCTTGCACGCCGACATGCACGCCGTCTGCGCCACCTTCCCCTGCAAAGCAAGCACAGCTTAGCCAGGCCGCACGCCGCCAGCCCAAAGGGCTTTTCCATCAGAACGATTCCATGGACGCCCTCCCTGCTGCATCCCACCCGCCCGGAGGCCTCCCCAGAGCACTCGGGAGGGCAAAGACCCTCCTGGGAGCAAATTGGCTTTTAGGAAGCGAGTCACTACCAGGGGATGCTGCAAACGCGGGGCACTGAGCTCCATTTGAGCTGCATTTCCAGCATCCGCATGGCAAAACAAGGTTCTCTGGCAGCTGCCGCAAAGCCCTTCGGAAGCTACGAATCAAAACGCTGCATTCGAATGCCTGACAACTAAACACCAAGGTTAGAGATTGGCATCAAATGTAATTTGTTGCTATTCACCAAAAAACTCTGCAAGTGTTTCAGCATAAGCCTTATCAGCTACTTACAGCCCTATAAACTTTTATATCTCTCATGGAAGCCAGAATGGTTTTTAGTTTCTACTAAAGGAAACTTGAGAAAACCATCAGCAAATATTCGTTTTTAACACATTTTCTCTAGGCTGCATCAATTATACTGAGGGGAAAGAAAAAAAAAAAGGGATTCAAGCTGTAAATCCTGTGTGCAGTCTGCAGGGAGAGGCGCTACTCAGAATAAGCCTTCGATTTTCAGCCCGTGAGGCAGGAGAAGACGAACGTGACAAACTATCGACTCCTTTAGCCCGCTTGTGTTTCCCAACTGCAACATCTGAAACGGCCTCGTTTTTACAACGGCGAGCTGCAAAAGTGGCGCCTTGGCTGGGGAGAGAACCCATCCCCAGCAGATTGCAGTGTGCAATGAGAAGGACCAAAATCCCCGTGGGCATTTATGGGAACGGTGGGAATTGTGCATGCAAAAATCACCAGCCGGCCTACCCGCTCGCCACCCGGATTTTGGCTCATGCCTGCTCAGGGTTTGCAAATAGACCCTGCTCCGGACAGCAACATCTGCCTTGCAGAATCTTTCCATTATTTCCAAGTGGAAAAAAGATTTGTTCACCTTGACAAAAACAGCCACCAAGCCGGCAGGGGCTCTGCAGTCTGATAGTAGAAAGGAAGAATGGAACTGTCAGAGGCGAAGCCCGGGATGTCTCTGAAGAATTATGATGTTTGGAGAAGAGCAGTGCTTGGGAATGATGGCAGGAGGCTGGGAGAGATGGTTGGAGGGGAGAAACCATCCCAGCTGAAAGCACGATTTCCTTCGGCTGTAAGAAGGTCCCAAGTGGACCAGCCATAGGGGCAGCTGCTGAGCTGAAGAGCACAGATGGGAAGACCAAGACCCTCCTTTGCAGAGGAGCTGCAGCTGGCGGCTCTTCTTTTGAAGCCTCACATTCAAGACTCTCCACCTTGGACAGAAACGCGCCGTCTTGCACATCAATCTGTCTCCTTTTTGAAAACTTTCAATGACAACTTACTGGTTATCTAATTGCCATCCAAAAGCGGTGGCACTGAAGATTTGAGGAATATGCTTCCAGGCTGGTGCAAGCGTGCAACATCTGTTACCCCCATAAAAATGTGGAAGCCCTTTGGTATGAGCATAAACCTCACACGAACCCACAGGCCAAAGTTGCACGGGATGATCTGGCTGCCCGCATACACCATCATGATTCCAGGTAATGGGGTTAAGGTGAAAACAGCCAGGAGATTTATCTGGAGATGACACTTGCAAACATATGCAAACAAATACAGCACACTTTCCTGAAAACGTGGCTAATGAGATCGCACCGATTTTTACAAGCACTTTGCCAAACTGTGCTTAGACCTGGGTCAAAGCGGGGATTTTCCAGCTAAATATCCCAAGTGGCATCACTGCAGCATGGAATAGATGAGCCACTGCTTATCTCTGCTCTTACCAACTCCAGAAAGTCGGTTTGGATCTACAGCAATATTGATCTGCAGCAGCAGGAAGCACCTCTTTTTCCATGAAAAGCAGAGGAGAGCTCTTCCAGCCCCGAGCAAGCGTTGGAGCGGCAGCCACGCGGGTGCAGAAAGGGCTCCCCAGCTCAAAGCAAGCGGTGAAGGCGCCCGCACCAGGACACACATTCCTCTGGCCGCCCTGAATAACGAGTGAGTGACAAGCGGCACAGGGCGGGCGCGAGGAAGAGCAAATAAACGAGACGAAATGTCAAGTTAATAACCCCAGTGCGGCAGCACAGGATGGATCGGTAATTTAATTATCCTGCCTTGACAGCACAGGAGCTTCTCCACGGAGCCTTCACCATGAAAGTGCCTTGCAAATTCCACAAGTAGCACTTTCTGAAATTCCAGGCAAGTATTTTCTACTACATCTCATTGCAGAGAGAGGGAAGGGAATCCAGCGGATAAACAAACTCAGGAGCAGTTGCTGGCAAAGTCCTCGCTGCTCCGACCTCTCTTGGACAGTGTTGGCTACATCCAGAACTATTTTCAGGTGCAAAGTGTGCAGCTTTGAGATCACTGCAGCTGAATCGTTTTGCACCAGCTGAGAATTTGCCCTTTTCCTTCCATGATTCTTAAGGCTTAAACACCTACAAAACATTTAGTTTTAAACAAGAACTTGTCTTTAGTCATAAATTTAAGCATACACGGAATGCTTTCGGATTCGGGCAGGCGCTCGGTGTGGCAGATGCTCCGTGCAGCAGCACCTGGCAGGACCATCGTGCTCCCACCACCATCTCCTCCCAGCATCTCCCCTGTAACAGGCTGCAGCAGGTAGGACAAATATAGGGAAAACAGCACAAGGACACCAACGTATCACTACTATCGAGCTATTTTAAGTAAGAAAAGCTGTTCATGTTCACACTTGGGATGGAACTGTGGGGTGATGTCCTCATCTCTCTCCGCAGTCCCTATTGCGGCTGGAAAACCAGCAGCCCGTACGTATTTCAGAAAGTTTTTAGCTCCCTGGACGTCCCAAAACCCCAGAGCTCAAGAACAATTTATCTAAAATTTATCTAATTTATCCAAAATGCAAGATGCCGTTTGGAGAGGAGGACAAAGAAGGAATCACAGAACCAAGACCTGAGCTGCCAGAGACCAGGACCGGGAAAAAAGGCCCTTCAAGTCACCAATAACTTTTATTAACTAGACAGAAAATTGAAGAGTCTCAAGTACAAATGGGCACTTCTTGGAAAATCTCCACAGTGGCAATTGTTTATTCAAGACCTTCGCAAACCTCATAAAAAATTAACTGGATGTACGTGGAGTAGACCCATGGTCACAGGCGAAAGCCCACCAAGGGCAAGGGCCAAGATGCCAGCATGTCTGCCCCGTGACATCTGCTTGAGGTGACAGCTTTCAAGCCAAAGTGTCTCTCTACCCCATCAGATTTCCCCTGGGGACCTGGGTATAACATCCATGGAGCCTCTTTGTGGCCATACCAACGTGATGGAGAAGTCAAACCTACTCTGAAGCTCCTCTGAGGCTGCAAGCCCAGGAGCACGAGCAGAGCGCGGAGGCCTGGGCTCCTCTCGGCACAGCCCCAAATCCCCGCTGGGTCAATCACACTCCTGGAAACCAGCCGTGAAATCAGCTCGTATTGCTGCAGATTAAACCCCGGGGGCTCCCAGGAGGCCCAAGGGCCACCACAGGGAAGGTCAACATGGAAACCACTGAGTCGGCATTGCTCACAGGAGCATATTTGGTTGAAAATAGCAAATATGTTAACAATTAGGGAAAAGCTGAAAGGCCGCCTTGTTAATTAAGGAACTGGCTATCAGAGGACTCATTAAAAGCTACCGAAACTGAATGGTTGTTAAAATAAACATCCATTAATCTTAACACGCCATCAGAAACACACGCCTGCTACCTACCTCAGTGCAGGGGGGAACCCTGCAGCACCCACCTCATGCTCTCAACCTGTGCCCAAAGTGTCATCCCATGGGACACCAGCCACCAGTGGGAGAGGTCAGGAGAGACCCGGGGCACAGAAGCACCCCATTACCAAGCTGGACAGGAACCTACCTGGTGGGGCCTCTCTCAAAGCCACGGGCAACCTCTCAAATAACCTGCACGTGAAGCCCTCCAGCAGCACCGGGAGCACTTCCATGGGATCAGAGCCTGGTAGGCTCTGCAGGCTTTCATATAGTGCAAGACTAAAGAAGAACTGTTTGGTAGCAAGAAAAAAAAAACCCTAAGAAAGGAGAAAGATTAAATCCTTTTTCCCCTCTGTGAACATTCCTCTCGGACCTCCCGTCCACTTTAGTGGTCACTGAATGGTTCCTCATCATGGCAAATATACTGGGAGCAGAGAGCCAGAACCAGGTCTACGTATTTCTTATTTCCTTTCCTGGCAAATTGTGTTTGAAGAGCTTGGAAAATTTTTGGAATGCCTGAAAATGCAGATATTCCCTAGTGGGAATTCCCAGCTCGTCCAGGATAAAGCCAAAGCAGGACAAAGCACCCAGACGCAGTGTTTCTTACCCAGCTGAGAACTGAAGCAGTTATTCTTTGTGTGGGACTGGAGTAAAAAGCCAGAAATTGATATTCTAAAGGTCTTTAAAAAAGAAAAAAAAATCCAGAATAATTAACACTTCATGAACAGTCAAAACAAAAGCACATTGACTTCCTTCCCAGTTTGAGTATTTACTTAAAAAAGAAAAAGAAAAAAAAAGCAAGCCTGTTATTAATTGTCCCGAAATAAATTCGCAGTTCTTACGCTGACGTTCAAATTAGCTTGCACAACATTAAACGTGCCCAATGTCCCGCGCGCCCCGGGCCGGGCGCGTGCCGCCAACACGGTGGCAATGAGGACGCCTGTGCGTGCGTGGCACCGAGCACCAGGCCTCAAAGCCACTTGTACTGTCATCCCCAAGTGCCTGGACGAAAGCAGTTTTAGTTTTAAGATCTGTGGATCTGGGGCCAATATCTTTCAAATTAATACCAGCGTATCCGAGATGAACAGCATCAGGAGCAACGACTGAAAGTCCTGAACGAAACAGATGGTCAAGAAGAGGGATCAAGAAGTTGAAGAGGAAAGGAACTGAGCAGAAAAGGATTTCCTCAAACAGAA